TGGGGGGGGGCGGAGAGCTGAGGGAAGGGGCTGTCCACCTCCAGGAGGGGAACTTCTTGAGAGGGAGAGCAATAGGACAGAAATTGGGGGAGGAGGAGCCAGGGCAGTTATCAAAAGAACGAGGGTTTGGCAAAGTGAGAAGTGTTCCTCCAAGATCCTCCTGGGTCCCCTGACATAAGAGCTTCTTGTGCTGGCAGATTGGAAACAGAAGGACATTGGCAATTGAAGAGGTGAGAAAAAGATGGTGTTCACACACATACTAAGTTTGGGTTAGAACTTTTTTGTGCTTTTTGAGGGAGGAAGTGGGAGGTGAGTGGGAAGAGAAATGGCAAGGGGGAGTTGGGCAAAGGGGGCAAGCATGTCATCTTTGACAGCTGACCCCTCCCCTGGAGATGTAGAGAGGTGGGGTGCCAGATGCCTCCCCTCAGCCACCTCCCTGTGAGGGATGGGACAGAGACATGAGGCTGAGCTCAGGAACCAAGAACAAGCTGCCCATGGACGGGCTGTGTCCAGGAAAAAAAACGAGGGGCAGTGGCACTAGCTGGTGTATTTAAAAATAATGTTTTATTCTTCTTGAGGTGGGCTTCTCAGAATCAGAATAGCAAACAATAATAACAAAAACTTTGTTTTGAGCACTTACTGCTGCCAGGTGCTCTAAAAAAAATGTCTTACATGCATGATCTCAACAACCAATGAGTAGATAATGTTAACCCCATTTCACAGGTGTCAAAACTGAGGCACAGAGAGTAGCTAATTTGTCAAGTTCCCATGACTGGTAGGTGGAACCAGGTCTGTCTGACTGCTGGGTCGACAGTCACTGAGCTATACTGCTTTCCAAGAATTAGCCCATCCAAGAATCAGGACCACAGAGCTGATGGAGTCTTTGTGACCAATTCTAGTCCAACTCTCTCATGTTAGAGAGGAGGAAAAGAGGAGCCTCAGAGAATTTAAGAAACTCACCCCAGGTCACCCAGAGCTGGGCCAAGAAACCAGGCTTTCTTTTTCCTAAGTTAATGTTGGTCTTCTTTATCCTCCAGTTGAGGGAGGTCCTTCAGCAGGGGAGGGAATGATGAAAAAAATTTGGAAAGGGAGGAATAGGGTCTAGGGAAGGGAAGTTGAGAGAATATTCCTGTTACTGGGCTGTGGGGCAGGGCTGCATTATGACTTTCCTAGGCCCTGAGCACTACAAAAGTAGTGCCCCTTCCTCAATAATTAAGAACTAAAAGTTCTATTTCATGACTGCATTGGTATAAAGAGGAATAAATTAATGTTCTATATTAAAATGTTCTTTTCTATCTAAAAGTTGAGTTTTTTCCCCCTTATGATTATAAAAGAAAGTAAAACATTTTCATTGCCTTCTAAAAGTACTGTGGGCCTAGTCATGGTACCTGCTGTGCCCGATGGATAAGTCAGCCCAGGCTGGAGGGCCCAGGGAGGAGGGGTGTTGGGTAAGTGGGTGGGTGCAGATGCCCAGTTCCCCACCTCAGGGAGGTTCTGTAAAGGGTGTGGGGCAGGGGTAAGGGAGGAACTAAGGAAGGAAAAATAAGCTCTGTTTGGAAATGAAGGTGGTAGAGAAATACCCTCAGGCACCCTGAGAAATTGGGGAGTAGGTGTCAGAAATGTCTTGGCTGCTCCAAGCCCTTCTTGCCATCATCTCCAGCAAGGATTTTGGAGCCTAGCTGATCTGAGCTTGAATCTCAGCACTGACAGGCTTAGTGTGATTGCCTATTCCTATAACATCGTGGTTCAGAGTGTGGGTTCTGCATCAGATTGCCTGGGTTTAAATGACACCCAGCTTTGCTACTTACTAGCCATGTGACCTGGGACCAGGTAGTTAACTCTCTGTATCTTTGTTTTCCTTCTGTGCAAAATGGCAACTCCTATGACCTTCCTCACCTGTGTTGTCAGGAGCCTTTGGGGATGAGCTGAGATTATGTCTGAGACTGGAGCACAGAACTGAGATGTAATTGTTGTTCCCCTCCCCCTTGCCCTTTCTTCCATGCTCACAGCAAACCATAAAGGAATCCAGGAGATACTGGAATCTCCCCTGAGTTTAAAGTTCCCCAGAGGAAGACATGCCATTGCTTCCAATGAGTCTGTGTCTGTCCTCTCCTTATTCTGAAATTCTTCTAGGAGTCTGACCTTAACTTTCATCTCAGTTAGAGAGGCACTCTTGTTTCTCACTGTTCTTCCTGCTCCCTCTTCCCTGTCTCCTTCCTGAGCACAAGGGCCATTAAGATCCCATCCAGCCTTCTACTTCTCTTCTAAATCTTCTCTTTCTTTCTAGAGTGGTTTCAATTGTAACCTACTGGGTTCTGCTAGTCCTCAGCTCTGCCCTGCCCCCTTCCTCCCTTCGTTCCCATATTTCAACCACCATTAAATGTTTATTGTGCTGAATAAATGCAGAGCGGAGGCTTGGAGATGCAGGAGGCTCAGAGTCAGTTTACAGGCTGCCTGATCAGAGCAGCCTCCGTCCAATCATTAGCAAGCCCAGCCGTGGCTGAGAGTTACGAGCCAACAGGATGCAAGTGAGGGCTCTGGAATATGACCCGAGAGGCAGGCCACCCATGATGGGCAGACTCCCTGAGGAGGTGAGAATTGAGCTGTACAGCTTCCTTAAACCAAATGAGTCCCAACTTAGAGCTCAGCACCTTCTTCCTGGTCCCCTATCTTTGCCAGCAGCACCCTCACTCTCCAAGACCTCTGGAACTCTGACTTGACATGAATACTAATCTCTCCCATAACTCAGCTCTGCTCATCTCCTCTTGCCTGTTCTTCCTCCATCACAGCTCTTCCCTCTGCCCTTTCTCACTACCTGCCCTGGGATGCTGGAGGACAAGGGCCTAGAGGGTCAGATCTCCATTGCACTGCCCCTGGAAATGGGCAGATTTTCTCCAAACCTCCATTCCCACGTGCTCCCGCAGTGCCCCTGCCTCCGAGAGCAGGCTCACCGCGGTCTTGGGCACCTGACCAGGAGCCTAGGAAGTGATCCGAGCTTCAGCACCAGGCATGGGCAGGGAGCACTCTTTCCTGAGCCTTCTCCCTAAATACTCCCCCTGTCCCAATAGTGTCTCCCTCTGGTGACACCTTTCAGGATTCTGCCAACCCCAGGAAGGGCCAGCATCCCTGGGGGATCCACCCAGGGAAGAAATTGGTTTTCTTTCTGGATGGAGGTTACTCAGTTTAAGCAAGGAATGGGGGGAACATGATATTTCTTCCAGAAAAGAAAAGGCTCACGATAGCCCGTTATCTCTTCAGAATTCTGTATTGCCTTGTCTCCATGTCTATATGGAGACACATGTCTCATACCCTTTTCCCCTGCCCACTCTGACATGTGGCTCTGTGTGTGTGTACATGCAGGCATGTGTGTGTGTGTGTGTGTGTATGGTTGTCCACTCATGGGCTGAGTTATCTGTCTTCTGCACTAAGGGAGGAGGTGGGGGCACTGTTGGGTGGAGCAAGGAAGGGAGACATGGGGTCCTCCCTTCAAGGATGGCCCTCATCAGTGAAGGCTATAGCCCAGCAATGGGTAGGATGAGGAGCTGCTCAGCCTGATCCCTGTGTCCCCCCCCACCCCCATCTCTATAGCTGAAAAAGATTGGGGGCGGGGGCTTTGGTGAAATCTACGAAGCCATGGATCTGCTGACCAGGGAGAACGTGGCCCTCAAGGTGGAGTCAGCCCAGCAGCCCAAGCAGGTCCTCAAGATGGAGGTGGCTGTGCTCAAAAAGCTACAAGGTGAGGGCCGAGGGCTAAGGGGGAGGTGATGGGTGACGTGGTCATGGGGCCAGGGCTGGGGGACCAGCAATCCAGAGTACATCATGAGCCCACTTTAGGGTTGGAAGCCAGAGAGAAAGAGTAGCAATTGGGAGACCCTGTCTGTACCCCTCAGGGAAAGACCACGTGTGCAGGTTCATTGGCTGTGGCCGGAATGAGAAGTTTAACTATGTGGTAATGCAGCTCCAGGTAAGTCCCTGTGGCCCATCCACCCTCCATTCTCCCCCAAGAACTTGGGCTGTGACTCCTGGGCTGGGGAGTGGGGAAGGGAGACTATGGCCCCGGGAGGAGTGGGGAGTGGGCACAAAGCCTTTGGGGGTGAGGCTGGGCAGGCTGTCACAGTGGTGGCGATCCAGATGGCCACTGAGCCGGATTGCCCCTACCCCACCCCCAGGGCCGGAACCTGGCCGACCTGCGCCGCAGCCAGCCTCGAGGCACCTTCACGCTGAGCACCACACTGCGGCTGGGCAAACAGATCCTGGAGTCCATTGAGGCCATCCACTCCGTGGGCTTCTTGCACCGCGACATCAAGCCGGTGAGGGCTGCCCCCACTCGGCCCTCTCTCCAAAGCACACCCCCACCTCCTCTCCCTCTCGGGGTCCCCTGGTTTCTTCTCCAGAACGGTGGTGAAGGCAGGAACAGCCCCTTCTGTCCCCTCCCCCTGCTTTCCATCCCAAGCCCCACCTCTGCCTCTCCCCTGCTTCCCAGGAGCACACACCCCTGTCCTCCCACCCCTTGGCCATGCCCATGCCCTCTCCTGTGTCTTCTCTTCCTTTCTCCCACCCCTGACCTGGACAATCCTAGAACCTAGAAAGGTGAAGATTTGGAGAAGGATGGGAGAATTGAAGGAAGGGGACCAGGGGCTAGAGCTTGGTAAGGAATTCCAAGTACAGTAAAACCTTGGATTGTGAGTAACTTGGTTTGCGAGTGTTCCGCAAGACGAGCAAACATTTCTAATACATTTAAACTTGGTAAACGAGCAATGTCTTGCAATACAAGTAGTTTGTTTCTGGAACGAATTATGCTCACAAACCAAGGTATTACTGTAATTCATTTTATGGCATCCTGGACTTGGTGCTAGAAGAAACCTCTAATCTTAAAGGGTGAAAACTGAGGCCCAGAAAGATTGGTTGCGTGGCCCAAGATCACACAGCAAGAACAATGCAGGTCTCCTGCTGCCTTAGTGAGATTAAGCCACACTGCCCTGTTGGGGAGTCCCAAGGATTGAGAGCAAGACAGACCTGGGTTCAACTGTCAGCTGAGTCATCAGTTGCTGTGTGACCTTGGAGAAGCCCCCTAAGCTCTTTGACCTTTAGTTTCCTCATCTCCAAAATGAGAATAATCACACCTGCCCCTCAGATGAAGTACTGTGACTGGCTGTGTGTGCTGGTGTTCTACTCATGTGAGTGTGCGTGGGCTGAGTGTCCCTCACCAGCGCTGTTTCTTGGTGCCCCTCAAGGAGGGCCAGGTGGGGTTGGAGCCCACGGCTCACAGATGCTGTCTTCCTGCAGTCAAACTTTGCCATGGGCAGGCTGCCTTCCACCTACAGGAAGTGCTACATGCTGGACTTCGGGCTGGCCCGGCAGTACACCAACACCACGGGGGACGTTCGGCCTGTGAGTACCGCTGCGCAGACACCCTGGCCTCCTCGCCCGCTCCCTCATCTGAGAACCCTTCACCAGGTTTTCCTACAGCTGCCTGAACGTGCCCGGCCTGTGTTCAGTATCAGCAACACCCAACTCCAGGTCCACTCTCTCCCTTAGCCTGGGTTCCTGGTGGATGCCACACCCACACCCTGTGACCTGTCTGCCCACTCTGGTCAAGGATGGTTGCAGGGGCAGGAAGCGAGTTTAGGACTGGGGTTGCTGTGTCAGGTTTGTTCCTGACCAGGCCAACGTGGGGGGTGGCAGCACAGGGAGGCAGTCAGTGTTAAAAGAGGTGGAGGCAGGCTTGGTAAGCAGGGTTGAGATGTGGCCAAGGTCAGGGGCAGTGGGTGAGGTGCCTGGTGTTGTTCTCCCCTCTGCAGCCTCGGAATGTGGCCGGGTTTCGAGGGACTGTTCGTTATGCCTCGGTCAATGCCCACAAGAACCGGGTGAGTGGCCGAGTCTGGACTGAGGGATGTGGGGGCGGTAAGGGCCCAGGTCAGGGGTGGGAGATGCTGCTGAGGGAGAGCACAGAACGGGCACCTCTGGAGGTGGGGAGAGAAGTATGGGGCAGTGTGAGCACCAGAAGCTGCCACTCCAGAGACCCCAGCGGGAAGAAGGCTCTGCCCGCGACGTTTCCCTTCTTGCTTGTTTGGGGGATCTCCTCCTCTCTGTTCCCAACACAAATCTCTGTGAGGGTGACAAAATACACACAGACGTTTTGACACGGGGAGTCTATATATGCTGATGGGTCGGGGAGGTAGCCGTGGCTTCAGGGAAACTCCAGCTTTGCCCACAGGGACCTGGGTGTCCGGCCCCCCTGACTGGTGTCCCTCAGTGAAGGGCCAGGTCCCCACTCCCAGGTATGACCTGAGAGCTGTGGGTGACTCCCCTGCTGCTCCCCGCCCCCAGGAGATGGGCCGCCACGATGACCTGTGGTCCCTCTTCTACATGCTGGTCGAGTTTGCAGTGGGCCAGCTGCCCTGGAGGAAGATCAAGGACAAGGTGAGCCCCATGCCACTGGGTCTGAAGAGGTGTGTATGTGTGTGGGGAGGGGGAGCGTGGGAGCAGCTGGGACGTCATCTCCTGTGCCTCTTGCCTCCAGGAACAGGTAGGGATGATCAAGGAGAAATATGAGCACCGGATGCTGCTGAAGCACATGCCCTCGGAGTTCCACCTCTTCCTGGATCACATTGCCAGCCTCGACTATTTCACCAAGCCTGATTACCAGGTGGGAGCCTGCCACCTGCCTGCATCCTGGACGCCTCTCTCTTTTTTTTGTGGGGTTTTTTTTTTTTTTAGCTGAGCCATCCTGCCACCTGTTGGCAGCTCAGCGGCTGCTCAGCTCGGGCCGGGACTCGAACCGCTGTTACTCAGAGCTCAAACTCGTGAGCGAGCTCTTAACCAACTGAGCCACTCGGCCGGCCCTTCCCTCTCTCTTTTTTTTAAGGAATTCTTTTTTTAAAAAAAAATATTTTTATATGGGATTATTGGGAAACTGTTTTTCTCCAGGACCCATCAGCTCCAAGTCAAGTAGTTGTTTCAATCTAGCTGTGGAGGGCGCACCTCAGTGGCCCATGTGGGAATTGAACTGGCAACCTTGGTGTTATGAGGACTGTGCCCTGCACACTAACCACCTGAGCTAACCGGCCATCCCCCAGGAGACCTCTCTGTGGGTGACCATCACCAGCAGTGCCCATCCTGCTGAGGCCCCATGCCCATGCCAGCTTGGCCCTGCCCATGTCCCCCTGGTCTTCCAACTGCACGGAACTGTTTTGGCGCTCTTATAAACAGTAGTCAGAGCTAAGATTGATTAAGAGCTTACCTTATTTTCAGTGCTTTCCATGCATCAAATCATTTAAACTTCAAACAAGCCTTTTGTGATAATTGAGTGTTCCTTATGTTATTATTCTAGCACTTAACAATTAATTAAGCCAAGTGCTTTCAAGTTTTATACCAAAACCCTGCAGGAGGCCAAGTGAGGGGATTGTCCTCATGTCATAGATGAGGAAACTGAGGCCTGATAGCCTGGTTAGTAGCGGGGCTAAGCTCAGGTACATCTTCTGACTCCGAGTCCAGTGCCCTTCCCAAGGCACCATCCCCGCACTCCTGTGGGACCCACTGACCCTGATCTGAGAAGGGGGAAAACATCAGCAATGTTCTTCCTGGGACCCACTATGTGCCACCATGGGGAGCACAGTGTCGGGCACACAATAGGCACTCAGTGAGGTGGGCCCTGCTGGCAGAGACAACCTGCCCTGCATTCTGGCAAGAGCGAGGTCAGAAGTGGAAAGGTCTGGGGGCTTCTGAGGGTCTACAGCTTGCCCGTCACCTCCTGAGTCCAGAGCCCCGGTTGCTGGCAGAGATGCCTCACTCTGGCAGAAAGAGGCCATGTCCCGCTCCCCCAATCCTAGATCAGCCTCCTGGGGTCCTCCAGACCACACAGTTGAGAGCACACCCTGTGCTGCCTGCTAGAGACGTAGAGGTGGCAGGTAGGCGTGTGAACAGCTCCAGCCGGTGCACTGGGCCCAACCACCAGAGCTGCGTGGTGGGGGAATCAGGGAAGCCTTCGGAGGAGAGGATGCGTGGGGAAGGCACTGCAGGCAGAGGAAGCTGCCTGTGCAGACGCATGACCCCAGGTGGCGGGTTTGGGAAACTACCGGCGGTGGTTCCCGGCTGCTGCTGATTCTGCTGAGATGGTGGAAATGGCTGCAGAGTCTGGGGATGGTGTAATCAGGGGACAGATCTCAGAGGGCTGTGTCCAGCCAGGGGGACTTAAACCAAGATGATCATTTGCATGCTGATTTGTATATTATGTGCATGTTTTCATTGAAAATCAATGTGCCCTTCTCCTTCCAATACCCCCTCTTGGCCCATCCCTGTCCTGGAAGGCCCCCACTTTTCTGCCTTCTATCCCAGCAACTGTCCCCTCCTCCTGGCTAGCCCCGGGGTCACCTCTCTGTCCTCCCACCCCCCCCCACCCCCTGCAGTTGATCATGTCGGTGTTTGAGAACAGCATGAAAGAGCGGGGCATCGCTGAGAACGAGGCTTTTGACTGGGAGAAAGCGGGCACCGACGCCCTCTTGTCCACGAGCACGTCCACCCCGCCCCAGCAGAACACCCGGCAGACAGCAGCCATGTTTGGGTGAGTCTCGGGAGGGGTGATGGACGGGGTTGGGGGCCAGGTGACCCCTGCCTGGGGCTGTCACCTGAGAAGCCTGCCACCGCCTCCTCTTCCTACCTGGACACACCTGGCTGTCTCTTTTATTCTTGGTGCTCAACAGTGGGGTCCTCAAACCCCAGGAATTTCCTTGGCACAGTGTGGGGTCTTCATTTGGAGCTCTTGACCTTACTGGGGAGCAGGGAGCCCTGAGTGAAATTGCCCGAGCCCCACATTTTGTCTGTGTCTCCATGCTCACGTGCGTTCATTTAGTGAACGTGTCTTAAGCCCTGCCATTAGGCCCTGTGGGGTGCAAAGAAAAAACATGCAGCCCCTGCCCTCCAAGTGCTCTCCGTTGAGTCTAAGGTATTTGTAATTGATGGGTCAGCAATTTCAGAACCTAGTGACAAGCACAAAAACAGAGGTCGCCAGAGTGAGAAGGGGCTCCCTGCCCAACCCCAGGGGTGAGCCAGGGAGAGACGTGGGCAGAGGATCCAGCAACACATTTGGGAAGGAGACTCCACAGGATTTGCCAGCACATCATGGTGTCCACTTCTGTAAAGACATTGCTCCAGGAACTCCAAAGTGATTCTTCACTTTAGACCCATTCCTGGTCTAAAGGAAGCCAGCCAGTGAACAGCAGTGGAAATCTGGCAGGGCCTGGAAAGCAGCGGGGTCTCTTAAATAAATAGAGTGAGGTGGTGGTGTGCCCGTCCCTGGCAGCCACATCTCCTTCTGCCAGCCTGAGGATGGTCTTTGTGAGCCAGGGGTGGTGATGGGCTGAGGGACACCCCCACCCCTGCCTGGGCCTTGCCTGCGCCCTTTCCCATGGGTGGCAGTGATCTCCAGGGCCTGTGCTGGTAGGAGAGGGCACCCCTGCCAGCCTTGCCAATGACCCTTTCCTGGCCTCTTCAGGGTGGTCAACGTGACGCCTGTGCCTGGGGACCTGCTCAGGGAGAACACCGAGGACGTGCTGCAGGGCGAGCACCTGAGCGACCAGGAGAACGCACCCCCAATCCTGCCAGGGCGGCCCCCCGAAGGGCTGGGTCCCACCCCCCACCTTGCTTCCCATCCTGGGGGTCCTGAAGCTGAAGTCTGGGAGGAGACGGATGTCAACCGGAACAAACTCCGGATCAACATTGGCAAAGTAACGCAGCCAGGGAGAAGAACGTGGGTGGCCTTCCCAACCCGTGGGCCCCCTCCCCGTTTCTCCTGAACACCCTCTCCCCTGCCGCACACACCCGCCTGCTTGCTCTGCCTCTGTGGCTTTGCCCCATCTCAGGATCACCGGCATCCTTGTGGTTGATCTCTCTCTACCTCTTCCCTGAGAAAACCACGTGGCCCACAGCTGCCTTGTCAGCCCCAGCTCACGGAATTCCCTTCTCCTGCAGACCCCCTGTGTGGTGGAAGAGGAGCAGAGCCGAGGCGTGGGGGTCCCCAGCTCCCCAGTGCGTGTCCCCCCAGACTCACCGACAACCCCAGTCCGTTCTCTGCGCTACCGGAGGGTCAACAGCCCTGAGTCGGAGAGGCTTTCCACTGCGGATGGGCGGGTGGAACTGCATGAGAGGAGGTGGGTCTGGGGCCAGGGGGTTCTCAAGGGCTCCCTCGTCCCCTCCACCTTCACATGGCTGGTCCGGAGGAAAGGTCAGATGCGAGGCAGGGGTGGGGGGACCCTGGGAGTGTTGAGAGGGCTGTATTTGGGTCTGGGGTCAGACTCAGAGTCAGTGGCGGCCTGGATTGGGGAGGGGGTATACAGAGGTCCCCGCTCATGCCACAAAGGGATGTGGAGGGAGTGAGGCCACAGGAGGGATAGGCTGGGTACCCAGGCCCTGGAGGAGGTGAGGGGTGAATTGGCAGATGGGTGTACTTCCAGAACCTCTTTCCCTAGAGGCTAATTACCAGTGCCTCAGAGAGCTGACTAGGCTCGCTCTAGCTTTGGGGGTGGGGCTTTGGAGAAGGGCTCAGGCAGTGCTCAGCTTGAGGAGAGGATGGACCGAGTTTGGGGGTTAGGGCTCAGGGATCTGAATGTTAGGGAGGGGACCTGGTTTGTGGGAGGGAGTATTGGTGAGATCTGGTGGGTGGAACAACCTCAAGTGGAGAGAGATGTCCCTACCCTCGCTGGCTCTGAGTGGGGCTTCGCTCCACAGCAGAGCAGGGCTGTGGCCATTTCTGTACCAGGAAAAGGGTCTGTTCCCCAGGCCCAGCTCTGCGGGAGGGGTCCTTGCCACACTCTCATGAAGTGCCTCTTCATGCCCCAACCTCAGCCACAGGCCCTCCCCTGAGTTCTGCCCCAAACTGCACTCCACCTCTGGAATGGGGCATAGTGCCCCTTTGGGGTGTGGAGATGCCCAAGACAGGGGAGCCCTATGCCAGTCCCCGTGGTGACTCCAGGACAGTGGGATGCTGACCCTGTCCTCAGGGAGCCTAGAGCTCCCCCACCCA